TATATTTTTCTATCGCCCTCCGTAACCACATATAATTCAGCCGATTTTTAATATTAATTAAAATTGTAAGACAAGAGACCTTTTTGAACGTCTGATTACTGTTAAATATTTTCGAAAAATGTTATTATTATTATTGTTTATTATTATTATTATTATTATTATTAGTAGTAGTAGTAGTAGTAATAGTAGTAGTAGAAGTACTAGTAGTAGTAGTAGTAGTACTAGTAGTAGAAGTACTAGTAGTAGTAGTGTGTGGTGGCGCCCGCATCTCCATAGGCATCAGTGAATTGTGCCCGAGTACATAAGAACGTTGGACAGTACTGATCTAAATCATCTTCGTGTGACACCCTTTTGAAGGCGGGTCACAAGATGTCGACCCCTGAACTAAAAACGTAGAAAACTATCGCAGTCAGGCCGCGATTTAATAACTTCTCGTATTAGTGGTTAGCTCTGTCTCTATACACCACTGGGCTGCAGTCACGGTTTGGTCAGGCACGTTGCCGAGTTGCGTTCCATTTGTTAGCTCTCTTTCGCTAGGTATACTACGTAGCACGTGTGGCTGCCGCAAGCTTGCGACTGCGCTCTTCGACTTTCGAAGTTTTTATTTGGCAACACTGCTACATTCTTCTGCCCGAGCTGGGGCAAATAGGCAAGGCCAGGGTTCATTAAATCGCGGGCCTGGCTGTAGCAAAGAAAGTATCACAATTTCAACTAGCACGGAGCACATAATCTCGAAACTCGACATAAATTAATGAGCAGCAACAGTTCAGAAGCCATCGATTTATTTCTTCTTTTTGCCAGTCTAGCTACGTCAGATGAGGGTGAACTTTCACCAATTCTCAACTGCTTCTTCCGTAAATCTGTTGCGCCATATGTTCCTTATGAATAATTTTACTTAGCACAAGGTATAACAGGATTCTATACGGAATTCTAGAGAGATAGGATGGGATGGTATTGATTGGACTGATCTGGCTCAGCATAGGGACCCGAGGAGGGCTCTTGTGAACACGGTAATGAACCTTCGGGTTCCATAAAATGCTGGGAAATTCTTGAGTAGCTGCAGAATTGGCGGCTCCTCCAAAAGGGCTCAGCTCCATGAGTAAGTATACGGAATTCACTTAAGAAAACCGCACAGAAGAATCACATATCTCTGTTCTTTCTACTTTTACAGGGTTACTATAAATGATTCATTCGTTTTTAAAACGACGCTATATTTTCCAAAGTCCTACACGTACAAATATGATTCATATATAAAAAGAACCGTAAACTCACTAAGTTTGTAGTATGTGCACCAGTTGGCAGCATGAGTTCAGTGCCTTTACAAAACGGCGACAAAGCAAGAAAAGAGTTTTTGTTTGTTGGAATATGCGATATGTTCGTCTGTTATAGCAGTGCAACGCGCATTAAAGAGAGTACAGAAGAGAACCGCCATGTAAACAAAGCATTTTGCGGTGGTATCGGCAATTTAAGGACACGCTGGATTGGGCCTGTTGATGAGGATGACGTAGCTCTGTGCATTTGGCCCCCCAGATCACCTGATGTAAGCCTTGTGACTTCTTCCTTTGGGGATACATTAAGGATCGTGTTTACGTACCTCGACTGCCAAGAACACTAGTAGAGCTGAGGGAACGCATCGATGCTGCAGTGATGACCATTGACAGGATGATGCTACAAAATGCGTGGAACGAGCTCGACTACAGCCTGGACGTGTGTCGTGTGACCCAAGGGACACACATAGAACATTTGTAGAGTGTGAAGAAAACTTGGTGAGTTTACGGTTCTTTTTATATATCAATCATATTTGTATGTGTAATGCTTTGGAAAATATAGCGTTTTAAAAACGAATAAATCATTGATAGTAGCCCTGTACAACAAAAAGAATACTCTACGATCAATGATCGGTCTTCCAAGGCAGTAAGACAATGTAAGAATTGCATAATGTATTGCAGTCTCACATGACAAGTGCGTATATCAGTAACTGAATCACTGAGAAATCCTCCAGAAATCTCCAGCAAATTAAGAAACAGATTATACCCAGCAAGCGGATTAACTACACGTGTATATCCCTCGGACATGTAGCGAACTCCTCAGACAAGTCACAAATGGCTTGGGATTTATAACGACAAGTCAGTGTTTCCTAAAACTGAGAAACACAAGTAGAGAAATAACGTTAAATAATTATATGTCTTTCGTTGGATGTTAGGAAAATAAGCACTTAAATTTCACGACTTTTCTATTTCCGACATCTCTGTATTCCTATAAGACGAGATTGCTATTTCGAGCTACAATGTGTAGAGTCAGTCTCTCATTTATCATTCCCGTTTACTGCGCATGTCTGTCTTCTTCATGTCGAAATGCGACACACGCTCCACGCCGATGTGACGAAGCCCTGTTTCTACCATCCCAGCCCATGCATATTTTTATCATGGAAAGTGCATGTTTTCGGTAAGCGTTTAACATATTCTGTTCAAGCAAGTAATTCGTGAAGCGTCATGAGCCAGAAGATTTTCAATTAATATACAAAAGATAAAACTGTTATACTCCTTCTTCCCGAATCGGTCTTCCGAAATAAGTTACACCAAATATTCTCCCAAAATTTCTGTCATATGTTCGTAGTTTACTTAAAAAACCTGTCGAAAGTTCACACAATATGCAGCTTCTACCACTAGAGCCCACAGCGGTGCGTACGTAGGAGGAATCCGGGTTAGGCTACCGGCAGGGCAAGAAATATTCAGACAGGCCCTGGGACCCACTGAGCCTCGTATACAGTGGGCCCCGGAATAAAGTGACAGGGGATGTGAATTGTACCTTTCGCCTCCTTAGAGCGTCGAGGTTAAGTATTGTGAAGCACATCTTCAGGGCGCCATTTCATAGTTTCTGTGTCACAATATGAATATAAATAAGATGTATTACTCGTACAATTAAATCTATACGCAGTATGAACTACTGTACAGCGCATATGTGCATTTGCGTGGTGAAATGTTCACTTATATTTCTTTAGACCTGATATTTACTTCCGATTATAGTAGTAACAATTTATCTGAAATTTCTGTGAAGTCATGAAAGGATATTTTGATATTAATATCTGTACCTTAAGAAAGATTGTCACTTTACTTTACTAGTTAATATTTTTTAGTGTTAACTTCGTTAAAGTAACAAATTCCATGGAGCGCAGTGATACTTGGGAAGCTGATAGTCTCTCAGACATTCAAGAAACTTGCCCACTTCTGCTCAGAATTCATTGCTGTGTCAATAAGAGGGTGCCTCTGGATTCTGTTCCGTCCACTTGAATCCGGCCCGCACCCTTACACCATCCCTTCTATATTTAGGTCTCTCAAATAATGTCTTCTTTTCAGGTTTTCGACTAAAATTTTGCACAATATTTCTTCTTCTTCTTATTCTACCTTGATGGGTTAGGCTCCCTGGCCTATTCCCATTCAGAGATAATAGTACTTTGCTTATTTCCCCCATTTCGTGTCGAGTGTCCGTCCCATTTCATTCTCTGCGACTTCACCATCAAAACATTCGTAATAAGTATGTGAAAAAAGTGTACAAATTGTGAAACTCCTTATCACCAAAGTATATCCGTCCATTTGTTAATTTCCTTTCTGTTAGTTTCAAAATCTTGACATGGACTAAAATTTAGTTGTCTGTTTTAAAATTGTATTTCAGAGTAGATTGTTGTGTATCGTTATAAACTCGGAGCCTTCAGTAATTTGTTGATGAAGTTAACAATGCATGAGTCGATAGGCACTTCATGATGCTCTTTGCCAAAATGGAGATCCGTTCCTTATTTTTGAAATTCGAAACATGTGCCCGGGGTTTATTCGTGCAGAACGTGGCGTGATGATGTCGCTGCACCCTTTGTTCATCAAAATGCTAATTAAGTGAACTTTACTTAGAGCGGAATTGTACATTACTCCAAAACTCAAAGGAAAAATTGGATGAGAAAGGCTTCGCTCTGCAGAACATATTGCTTTAGCAGCGGGCCATATGTGAACATCAGCACCGGTACAGGTCATTACTGTTATTGTTAATTACAAGTAAATTTCTTTTATTTCCGCTAAGAAGCATAACAGGATTATGTCCATAATTTTTACTATCCATAAACATATTTGCTAACTAAAGTACGCCCGACTAAACAGTACGAAGGTAAAGGAATTCTAAAATGGAAGAGTGTCATATCGGGCAACTTTAGTACAGTATTACTTAGTGCTTTAAATTGCAATTATTTCCTACCTGAGCTTCTAACAATCTTCATGAGAAATGTAAAGTTAAATTTGTCCTTATACGTAATTAATTAAGTGCCATGCCATGGAGGGGGTGGTCGCTTTCCACCCCTGGGAAAGGTTCCTGGGTACACGCTGTATAGAATGCCCATTGGGCTCGGCATCCGGCCTGGAAGCTGTGAAGTAAAGAAACATTTCTTGCCTTTGCCTGGAATCGAAACCTGGCAGTCCAGCCCGTAGGCTGTCACTAAGTCGACTGAGCTATTCCGGTTACTCTAATGATATTCCTGAAATATGTAAACAATAACAGAACATTTAGCTCCTCTCACATGAAAGTTAATGTACTGCAAGAAATTATATTACATTATTCTTACTTATCTTACAATTTGCGTACTGAAAATGAAATTGTGACATGACATATACATTTATTATACTCGTTCACTATCTACCTCTGTAGCTCCGTGTGATAAAGTTTTTGATTACCAGATCAATTGCGGTACATATTAAACCGAATTATGGGTGTTAATCGCTTTATGCACTAGCTTGTAACGTATGTGATCCACTAACAGCCACAACATACGCGAGAACGGAAAAAAGTGAGGAGACAGAAGGACCACGTAATATAGATAATTTTATGTAAACTAATATTTAAACAGACATCAAAGGTCACAGTTGGTATTGTTTAATGACTGACCTCGGAGTCTCACAGCATGGCGTCAAAGATTGTTCTTAATTCGATATGCAATTTTCGAGCCAGCGTGATGTCCTTACCTTTATAAACCTTTCCAAAACATCCTTCACCAATTTCCTGGAGGAAGCAGAGCTTTTCTCTGGGCAGTTGAGGCACTAGAACAGTGTCGGGGGTTGCGCATGCGCTGTACTGAGGATTGGGAGTGTACCGATTCGGCACCAGCAGACCTTTGCTGAGGCTAAGAGGAGATGGCTGTAAGCAGAAGAAAATTATGTAGCTTGAATAAATGTACATAATTTTTATTTAAAGTGGATCCTACCTCTTATTTTTATGTGTCCCTTACCAGATAAATTGGGGGATCGGTATTCTGTTTGCAAGGAATCAGTTACTATGCAAATTGCACAGAATATTAGTGAGGACAACTAAGGGTGCATTAAAGGCACAGACTTTCATTTCAAGTAACTCGAGACACCCACAAACGGGCGTAGTAACAAAGGAGGCCTTAGTCGGCTAGAGCTGCATCCTGTCAAGCGGGACTTCACCGTATTCAAATGAAGAGTACTCAAGAGTTCCGTAGGCCGGATATATGCCAGTTACTTACTCGCTTACTTATCAACTACTTATTTTTATTTATTTACTTATCATTTATTTATTGCTTCTCAGTTATCTAGTTAGTTAGTTAGTTAGTTAGTTAGTTATTGGAGAGGGTAGGTTTCCCCATGCACTTACACCTGTAGTGGTCCATTGTGCTTCCCTCTATGATTTCTACCAGTCCCTATATCCTACCGGTATTGGTGCTTACTATCAGTCCCGCCCAGCCAGCGAGACCGGCTCTACTAGTTGAGAGGTATCTATACTGCTTCCCCCATCTACCAGAGGTATTAGTGACTGCTGTTGGGCGGGAAAAGTCCGCAATTTTGGCTCAGTCACCTCCTTTGGAGGTATGAGGTTCTTTTACGTGCTACGACACGGGACCCACGGCTTAAAGTCCCTCCCGGAGGACTTGTTCCCTGAATTTTTCCGCCATTAAAAATTCGACGACCTCCGCCGGGTATTTGAACCCGCGTACTACGAGTCATGAGGTGGGAACGTTACCTCTAGACTACGGAGGCCGCTTCAGTTATCTAGTTACGTATTACTTATTTAATTACTTATACATTTGCTTACTTGTGTACTTACTTATTTGTTTTATTATTTACTTACCTATATAACCTACATTTATTTACTTATTCAATTAATAATTCAAAGCTATCAGTAATTCAGACTATAGTGTGAAACTTCAACTGTTAGAATGCTTAATGAATACAGGAGAGGAATTGCGGCTAGTTGAGGTACTGCCATGGTATTTGCCTTGAAATTACATAAACTTGTGTATGTATTCACAGTTTGAATACATAATATATTTGTAAAGGGATAATACGTTTCTGACAAAAGCATAAATACTCGTAGAGAGTGAACACACAATATAAATATATATACATATTTATATATATAAATATATATATATAGACATGTTTTATTTTTAATTTGTAATTCCTTCTTTAAAGCTTTGATTTATCAATTATAATTTTAATTGTTTCGAAACTTGTCCTGATATAATATTATATTGCAGCATCCTGCTGCACATCACTTAGTATCAAATGTCACTGGTTCCACCTTCTCATGTGTAACCTGTCTTTCTGTAAAACTTGTTAAAAATTATTCACTTTAAAAGTTTTGCATACCGTATAACTTCTAACTTTTCAAAAGTTTCTCACTACATATTTCGACCAATGTTTTCATCATCAGGTGTTAAAAGTTATTGTTGATGAAACTGGTGTGCTTGTTACCATGGCTCCAATTGTTAATTTTTTAACGTATGGTCGCCTCTATGCGCACGTGTGTCTGTAACACGTGTAGATATCTTCTATTATGATTTATGTATACGGTGTGTTAATGTATCGTATGATCTCTTGTTTGTGTCCTTACATGAAATGGTGGGTTGTTCTTACTGTTGTGTATGTGTCGCTATCTGGTGTTTAATTCTTGCAATACGTCAAATATCGGGTTATAAACGTCAATACATGTGTCATTCATGTGCAGTCTGGTTTTACTCATTTTATATATATATATATGATAGTTTTCTAGCGTGTTTATTATTATTATTTTCATCATCATCGTCATAAAAATCAATATTGATTTTCAAGGTTCAAGTCATATTTCCCGTCCTCCATTAAAATTCTTATAACTGGCTAGACCGTTTCTTTAAATGTCTTCCTAATTCCCATTTCCCCATTCGATTTGTGCAAAATCTGATAACAGCTTTAGTGTCTGTCATCCTTGTATTTTGGATACTTAATTTCCTCAGTAAACATAGATTTGCTGAGGACTGCAACCCACACAAACGAGGGTTCCTCGCAGGTTGAGCTGTCTACTTACGCTGCCAGATGATGATTGCCGAGCTTTGCCGCTCCGAGTGACACATCTACCCATTTCCTTCCGTTTCCATAGACACACGGTACCCAAGACAATTAGCGCCACTAGCGCGAGTCCAAGGATCCATATCACAAGGTAACTCAGCGTCGGCAAGGGTTCCTCTTGAACTGTTCTGCCGGCCTGCAATGGGACAGTACGCACATAACAAAACGGATGTCACATTCTTAGTTTCCGTATACAGGGTGAAGCTATGCAACCTGTTGTGACATATGTGTACTGGAGGCAGTCTACTCAACAGTATTTCCGGAAAAACAATAGACACTTCTGTTTATCGGCTGTTGGCGCTACAAGTTTCGACCCTTACGTTGGGTCATCATCAGGCCTATAATAAAACCAGCATTTGTTCTTTAATTGCGTCATAATTCAACATGGATCCAGTTTAATTTTTACCGCTTAACTGTAAATTCAAATTATGTAATAAAACTTACAAGAACACAATATTGATCCATATTGAATTAAGAAACGAGACAATAACTAATGCTTATATTATTATACACCTGATGATGACCCAACATAAGGGTCGAAACCTGTAGCGTCAATAACCAATAAAGAAATGTTGATACAGAAGTATCTATTTTGTTTTTTTCGGAAACATTGTTGTGTTAGCTGCCTCCAGTATATATATATATATATGTGTGTGTGTGTGTGTGTGTGTGTCCTATATAAGAATTCGAAATCTCTATTTGTCAATTTAGTGATCCCCTTTTGCCCAATTTCCAACAGCACATATTCTGACTGTTTTAAATATGTCCCATAGAATGTCTTCATTGTGGGTTACTTAATGAGGCTTTTCGAATCTAGATTATAAAGCATCGAATGATAGGATGACTGATGAGTGACGAATTTGAAAGATTTGGAAGGAAGGAGTCGTTGCTTAACAGAAGTCAGATACCGCCATTTGCCTGGAGGGACTGAGAATACCCAACCAAGAAAAACTCAGGATAACCAGTGTGTCAGTCGAGATTCAAACTAAAACTTTCGAGTGCAAGTCCAGTGTGTTCCACCTATACCAGCCTTCTCGGTTGTAGAATCTCTAAGTTTCATATGGCTGTCATTTTTGCAACTGTTATAATATGGGAAAACTTTCGTTGCACAATTCGTAAGTAGACCCTAAGGTCGCACATGCCTCAGGGCACGTTGTAGCATTCCTGACTCCAATGCGAAGCTTAAAACAGTTACCCTGCGGTTAGACAAAGATAAACACAAATTTCACAGTACTGTCATAAATATTTGCCTCAATATAATTTTAAGATATAATTACTAATCCTGCTCTAGTGTGATTCCCACTTCAGAAATTTGCATGACTACCGTACTTGTAGACCGATATCGATAATAAGAAATTAATAAATACGATGATGAAACGGCTTGTAATGGCTTTATATTCATAGAAAATTTTGTTGAAACCTGTCAGATGGATCAAAAGTTATTAGAGAATCCGTTCATACGGTCATGATATTGCTATACGCATGCGCATAAAGTTAGCATCAAGAAAAGCATATCTACGAGCTCCCGCTTTCTAATAACTCTAAAATGTCACGTTATGGCAAAACAACTAATAGATTAGGTTAGTACTACAGGGCCCCGATTTGAATCTTAATCTGAAGATTAACTTCACTTCTTCGGTTTCCCCTTAATAATTTACAGCTTTCTTCTAAATCCATTACATTAACTGTTAATTGTCCTGTTCCCTTCGAACGTTATAGATTGTAATCTATTCAGTTTGATAGAGTGTCGATAAATAAATAAAAAATAAACATTTAAAGTTAAATAGAACTGGTTAGGGGACTGATGAATTTATTAACAAATTATGTGGTTGTGTGTGTTTTTTATGTTGAAACAGGTTTCACTTAAAGCAAGTGTCACGTAACTTCGAACAAGGCGAAGAGTAACCTTGAATGCTCGGAAGAAAAATTTCAGACGGGGGGNTGGGTTCGAGGGCGTGAGAAGTGACAGGCGGCCAGTTCGCACACCCTCGAACCCACCCCCTTGTCTGAAATTTTTCTTCTGCGCATTCAGGGTTACTCTTGGCCTTGTTCGAAGTTACGTGACACTTGCTATACACTGTTTCAACATGTCAATATGTCTAAAAGAAACATTCACTCGCATGTCATGAACTAATGGACTCGTCATCGCCACAGGAACAATGAAGTATGTAGTCACTAAGTCTGCCACTCTATGCTGTATACATACGTTTCACTTTCCAGTATTGCCCGATCGTTATTTCAGAAAATATAATTTCTTCTTCTTATTTGTTTAATCTAATGCCGGCAATTGGGATTCTGATCACAAAATGTGATTTCAAATCATAACTAAAATGCGGTTTCTTCAGGTTTACAGGCTGTTCGAGTTTCTTTCTGCCACTCGTAGCACCGCACAACATCTCTCCCACGCACGAAGAGGCTCTCACGCTCAACCTCTCCAGACTCCCTCCGTTTGTTTGCTCTTTATTTGCCATTACAGGCTGCTTTGGAAGATGAAGCAGAGTCCCCGCTTTTGGTGGGAAATTCCACCTGAAACTTCTTCTTGCACTTAGTCTTCATTCAAAATATCTTTCTTCAATCTCCCTCACGCCTCAAACCAGTTTTTCCTTTCGCAAACAATGATTTGGAAGTGAGTGTACCAGATGCATTTCTTCATTGACGAAGAAGGTTTTAGAGTTCCGTTCAATCCATAACTGAGTTCTTAATTTTCTTTTTTAATTCCCTTAGTGGGGGGTGGAGTCCAGCTGGGCCCACTCGGGACGGCGTCCACTGATTGGCCTATTGTACCTGCCCCGGGTGATTATGATGATGGAGAATTTTGTGAAATGAAGATTTGCAGGGGAAACCGAAGTACTCGGAGAAAACCCGCCCCACCTCCACTTTGTTCACCACAAATCCCACTTGACCAGAGCCGGGATCGAACCCGGTCCGCCGCAGTGGGACGCCAGCAACTAACCGCTTGAGCTTTGGCGCGGTCCAACAGAGCTCTTATCTGTCGTCATAAGATACTGCAAACTATAGGGTGATCAATAGATTAATTGGTATCATGTTATTGAACTAACTGAATAAACATGTTTGCAATAAGACGATGCAACAAAGTTAGAAAAAGTTATAATTCTGATACCGGACCAAGTAGGTAAGTATGTAGGCAAGTAGTAACTAACTAAGTACTTATCCATCCGACCGACTGTCCAACAGTCAGACACACAGGTTACAGAACCCGAAATTTGAGCACTGCTAACAAGATACCAAACCAGCAGTTGGATATGATTCTGTCGCGTGTTTCCTAGGTAACGTGGCAACAAATTTATGTGGGTCTCGGATTAGACGAATATGTTTATTGGACAATTGCTTGTTTACACTCAAAATTATAATCACTCTCACTTATTACGCCTTCAGACGTTTCCTCTTCAACTGTTATACTCTCTGACACACCTATTCTCGGTGGAGCGTCTTCGTTCTTCGTTCTTCTCTGATCGCTCGTTGAATCTGAACTATCCTTAGCTCTCGTCGAATTTAAAACTCACTTGGTCCTCTGAATTATTCTTCGCTTATATGTGGACTGTCAATGACGCAGAAGTATTTGAGATTATCAACAAAGTTAACAATTTAAAATCGTTAATAGAGTTACATAGGTCATTTATGAATACGTTGTGAAGAAAAGGTCCCAGAGCAGAGCCTTGCGGCACACCGGAAGTTACTTGAAGAGGCAGGGAGAGAGTGCCAGAAACGCGAACCCGAGACTGTTTTTGTTAAGTAGCTGCGAAACCAGCTAACATAAGCATCAGAGAATCCGAAGGAGCTTAATTTATGCAAGAGCACATATGGAACGAGGTCAGTAGCCTTTTAAACATCAAAATAGAGAGCATCAGATTGAAGCTGACCGCTGACAACAGGCGTCAAAAGGTCAAGAAACGTCACGAAATTGGTAACTGTAGGTTTTGATTTGGTGAAGCCATGTTGGTTGGGATTAAGTTTAACGTAATGCAAAACATGATCGTGAATAATGAAATCCAACAACTTAAAATAAATTATTGAGGATTAAAAATGTGTCCGTAGTTGCTCACAGTGACATGATTGCTTCTTTTAAATGAGGGTTCAACAGCCTCTACCTTCCACAGAACAGGTAGTCAGGCTTAAGTTAAATATGTGCCTAAGAATAGGAATAAAAATTACTGAACAGCCTTTTATGACAGACCCAGAGATTTCGTTAAGTCCAATACGTGTAGAAGATGTCAGCCTCTTAATGACTTTGAAGACATCCGCATCGGAATTAGGGGTAAGGGATAAGAATTCTGAAAATTGCCAAGGAGAGGGAATGTCCATATGGCAAAGGTTATTGTAAACAGACTAGAGTACTTCGCGAGAACATGAGCAACTGCACTTTGACACTACCAACCTCAGGCTGAATATAACTGGATCTGTATTTCCATAAATGCTGGGGCTATGACTTCAAATTCTTGACCTCAACCACCTGAGTCTGTCAGACTTGATTGTTTTTTAATATATTCTGACAAAATAGCTACACTATGCCGAAGGGCCAAACTCTTCAGTTTCTTAAGCGTACCAATTTTGTGCGGTACAGTGCATGTGTTCTTACCTGCGGCGCTGTCGTTACGTTGCGGGCCGTGGAATTTGCTCCGTTCGGTGGGATCAAAATGCCAATGTGTATTGGCTTAGGCGTCGCAGCAACTGCAACACACAGAGTACGGATGTTAGTTGGGTTGCGTCTACTTTGCTGTGTAAATGTGCTCTGTGAGGAAACTGCATCATGAGGAGCTTGTAACTTGTACTCTTCTCCAAGTATAATTAGAATGATCAAGTCAAGGAGGATGAGGTGGGTTGAGCATGTAGCACGAAAGGGGGAGACGATGAATCCATGTAGAATATTGGTGGTAAAGCCAGAAGGAAAGCTGCCACTACGAATGTAAGTGACATGGCAGTAGGTCTCCCCAGGGGCCCAAGAGAGCGGGAGTCCCTTCTTGTGCCCAACTTATGATAGTAACAGAGCCAATTCTGGAAATATATTTATTCTGATATGAGACGACTCTTTTTTAAACATTCATTACCATGAACACGAGACATGAACCCAGGTCCTTTATTGATGTATATTTGACATTTTCGGTACAGAAGGTAACAATATATTGCAAGTAAATTTTATAGTGCAATTCTGGAGAATTCAAAACTGTTTTCGAATTATCCACCATGTAGAGTAGAAAGAAATATATAATGATATTAACCATGTAACATTAAGCTGAGTGAACTTCATTTGTGAACATTTACTGCGATAATGCGTACGTGAGGTCGTGTTCAGCAGTTATGACACCGTCATTTATCTCCTGCTTCATTAAACACGCAATTGAAAGTGAATTGGCAGTTCTGAGAATAATTTCCTTTAAATGCCCCTGCTTCAATCTCAGCAGGCCAGCCAACAAACACCGTCCCCCGGCCTACTGCCTTAACGTGCAGGGGAGGTTCGCGTTCCCTGATGGCCTGGAGTGCTGTAGCAGCGGGAGAATTAGCTCATGGCAGGGTCACCCATGTCAGATCGAAGGGTAGGGGCAAGGTGAAAGTTATTCTCTGGAAATCCAGTCGGGAGTTGACCGAGAGCATAATAACTTCACTTCAAAAACGAATATGTTGTAGGGAACCTAATGATAAGTGCCACTAGAAGCAAGAATTGACATCTCCTTTAAAAGGAAGCCAAGGTTCTTATAACAGAGCCGTATAGCCAAGGACTAAGTAAGTAAATAAATATATATGAAGAAATTTCCCTAGTTTTGGCTGTCGATGCTTGAGTGTTATGAACCCTAATCTCAGTTTCGTATGGTCGCAATTTCGATACTTTTCAATAAATAGAAGATAGTCCCCTAGATACATTGATTCTAATCGTCCGCTCTATCAATATGAGTAGCAGCTAATAATTATTCATTAGATAAATTGCTAAAATAAATAGTAAACATGTATTGCGCAACGTCACATTGTTATTATTTGAATTTAAAGATGAATGACTTTTATTGTGCGAGTGAATATTTTTGTAAGGCAAATTAAATTTCAATCCAGATTTCAAGGAGCGAGTGCCATTTTTTGTCACGTCTCTCGTCCAGTGAATCTGGCTTGAAAGCGTTCCTTGAAATTCAATTCGACTCTGGAGAGCTGAGAGAACTTTTCTGTCACATATATCGCGCCTGTAATCCAGTTTCCTACAGTGAAGTGAAATCGTTTCTCGCTTATGCAAACAACTTCAGTCTTACTTTAAACAGTTGAGTGAAAATGTTTTCATTTCTTCAGGAATTAAATCGGCTTTAAAATATCCCTACAAATTTTCCTCCTCTATATATAGTCAATAATAAGCTCTTTTCTAGTAAATTTTAATTTCCGAATTTCCCTTTAAAATTCGCATTCTGTAAATATTTTCATAGCCCTAAATTTCAGACTCACACATAAACCGCCAATGTTATCTCAACTGAAATTCCATGTGGTCTCTATTTCGATGTTTTTTAATGCTAAGAATAAAAATCTTTCGCACGATCTCCATATCAGACTTATCTGCTTTAGACCTACTGGTGCGGACCCACACTGACTGGTGCGAAGTACATTCTAATAGTCTCAAATGAAAAGGCAGCCTCAAAGTAAGTATCCATATTGCAACTGAAGTCAGACTAACGTGAGCCGCTACATTCGGCAGTTACCCTTCGCATCACGGTCAGGACATTGTCTATTTTACCTAGTAGGAATGACGATTCCTCTGCAATAACTTCCACGTAATAAGGTATAACAATGAAGAAAGCAGTCTTCTGTGATTTGGCACCGTGTATATGTGGTGTTAACCGACGTTTCGGAGGAACGTATCGCCTCCATCTTCAGGGTAGAAGAAAAAATACAAGAAATCTGCAAGCGAAGAGACCGTGAGAACCGGCAAAAGCAGACTGGTCTGCTTTCTTGCAGATTTCTTGTATTTTTTCTTATACCCTGAAGATGGAGGCGATACGTTCCTCCGAAACGTCGGTTAACACCACATATACACGGTGCCAAATCCCAGAAGACTGCTTTCTTCATAGTCACCGCCGTGAAAGCCTCAAATCTTACACAAGGTATAACAACGTATCACTTCGCCTTACCTCGAAGCCTATTCAGAGCTACCAGTCTTCCTACAAGCGAGAAGTACTAACACAACTACCGCGTTAGAAAGCGCACACTGATAGAGTGACGTTGATGTTTGTGGCAATGTACGAGCCCAGGTACAAAATGTTCAGATCGGCAACCTCCTTAAACATTAACACAGCATGTACACTGCAATGTGATGGCTTCGTCTTACTTGAAAACCTTGTCCATATTTGCGAACTTTTGCAGTTCCAATTAATCATAATTAATTCGCCACATAAGAAGCAGATGGTTATGAAATTCCCCTCCCCCTACTAAACACGAATGTTCATTACCATTGGTCCCTATTCTGAGACAGATGAATCCACTCCATGCCCTCGTATTCTGTTCTAACATACATTTAAATCCGCTCCTCAAATCTAAACCCAAGTCTCTCAGTTGGTCTGTTCCTCTGACGTTCATGTTAATATCCTACACAGCCCATCTTCCAGAAGGTTAGGATGGTTTAAACTCGGATCATTTTCTTGTTCTCTTCTCTTAGGTCGAATAATTCTTCTCAGCATTCTCTGTACTAGCGACAGAAACATAAGTTTCAGAATTATCCAATCCATCTTAATTTTTGCTGATGAATCGTGACATTTCTGCATGCACTATGTAATGCAAGATGTCGTGATCTTCGCCAGTTCAAAGACACATATGTGATCTGTACTCTTCAGCACAATGCGCAGTCGCGAGATTGTCTCTCATTGTGAATCCTGGCAATTGCCGTATATTAAATTAGATTCGAGTGATATTCGTGCGCATATAGTCCACATAACGGATATATGTCGGCTGATGATGAATTTATTTGTTATGCAACTAGTATACTGCTCCATAATTTATATGCCGTAACATAAATTTGGACTTGTTATTAACAACAGAGATTTAAAGCATTTCAGGCAACAACATGCTATTTCTTGATAAACATTCTTCTCTGCTATTCTCCAGCTGTAGGCCTCACGAAAACGTGTTTGGATTTCAAGTGATTAACCTGATCCAGATTAACACGACTTCCCTTGTCTCTGATTACCGTTAACAGACTGTTAGTCATATGGTCAAGGAAAGTTAATTGATCTGTCATTCACTCGCTCCCCGTGTAAACAAATGAATTATATGTGTTCTTATATTAAAAAAATAGGTCGATGGCTAACGCTGGGAACAGGGTGAAGGGGTTTGAAATAAAGGAAAATGCGGAATTTCGTAATGACGGCAATTCCGTTTCCGGTGCGATAATAACGGAAATTTCTTGCGCAGCTGAGTATATATGGAACACACAGTTAATATGCACTGTTCAGAAATTTGAATTACTTAATGCCACGGTAGTTATTATTTCAAAGCTTATTTATGAATTTAGATAAGCACTGTCACGTTTATGAATAACTACAGACGGGGTTTGGATTGGTAATCGCGTATACTGAACACTTACAGATCGTAACTACAAGTAACTATAGGGCTATTGCTTATTCACAAATTCCTAGATTCACTACAGTACTCACTAACTTCTCTCAGTCTGCTGTGTCTTCTCCGGTTGCCTGGTAGCGGCTTCCAATATCGTAGTTTTTTCAGCTTCCGCGTTCACGTCCTTACTGCCCGGCGACTTTCTCCCAACTACACTGTCTCAAGTCCTCTGACTCTCGTGACTACACTTCACGAATCACTATCACACAGAGACTAGTGTTCTCAGTGAAAACTTCACTGCACTGCTGGGTAACGGCTTCCAACAGTGGACGTTCATCTGCTCCCGGCTGCTGCCTGGCAACGCGCTGATCAAATTCGTTACAATATGTACGCATGCGTACAGGCATCTCGATCCTGTTTCTGGCCGATGGAGCCATGTAATTGTAAGCGGCGTTGTCAATGATTCAGAGACAGTTAGCTCTCTCTGTGTTCAAGGCGAAGGGGGTGTGAGGAACTACTTCTATGCAGTGCTCTCATCCCAAACAGGGTCCGAACTCACGTTTCATATCCTTGAAATTCTGAAATCTTTTGCTTGCAACACTTCCCAATTTTGTGAATGAGTACCACACTTACGTATTAAAGACATGAGTAGTAAAAAGTAAACTTTTTAAGAATCTTAGCGTGAAAAATATATACTTGAAGAGCGGCAAAATGTTTTACATTTAATGCGAAAATCGTGTGGCTGCAATTATCTGATGATTCGTTGCAAGCAAATTCTTTGCTTCCACTACCCACACGTAGTCTTAACTGGTTAATAAGCATGGCCTGCCTGCTTGTCTATCCGTCTGTCTGTCTGTCTATCTATCTATGACCTTACAGTCCTTTTTGTTGAAAATTGGTCGATTTTCATTTTTTTAATCCTAGACACAGTCAGTACGACTCCTTGGACGGGGGATCAGCCCGTCGAAAGGCTGCTACCTGCATACAGAGCAATACAAACACAGAATAAAGCACACAGACATGCATGCCTTGATTGAGATTCGAACCCACGATCCCAGGGTTCGATTTAGCGTAAACAGTTCTGCCTTAGGCCGCGCGGCCGCTGACATCGGCTCATACTTGCACGCATGCTCAGTCGGTAAGTATGAAGA